TTTTTTGACAATATTCACTCATCATGACCGTAAAATAGGGCATTCTAAGTCAATATACTGCAGTATTTCCTCTCTCAATCAGCAGAAAATATGGTTAACACCCGGTCATGCATGAAAAAAAAAAAAATGTAGTGGTATAATTTTGAAAAATACCGTGATATAAATTTTTGGTCATACCCAGCACTAATTTAAAGTCTCTGAAAAATAAACTGACCTTTTTAATCACTTATGATATTTCATGAACTAATAATTCAAGCTATCTGTAAAAAGACAAAACTTCTGAACATTTCAAACTTCAAAAAGCAATTTAAAAACATTTTTTATTAAAAATGATGATTACATTAGTTTATTCAGAAAAATCTGTTATTACTTTAAAAAATGTGGCATAACCATCAAATATAGAGTAAAATTTTGACTTTTCTTGAAAATTGTATAAGAGTTTTTAAAAAAACCATATAAAACCAACATAAATCGAAAGATTTTAACAAGACAGACACCAGATTTGTTTTAATATCTCTCCTTTTCTTTATATTGGACACTCTTATTCAGTAACTGTGACGAAAGCATCACTAATTATAAAACAAGCTGAAACGCTGTCAGTGATGTGCCTTGCAAACTTTTCTGTTGAATTATTTTAACAATAAAAATCCCATATTGCCATTTACTTCTTATCTAACTGGCTATGATAAATTCTGGCCATAAAGGCCTTTAACCCATGATTTGAGTGACTGGAAGGATAATAAATGGAAGATTAAACAAAAATAATGCAAACAAAGGAGAACTCAATCAACAACGGCACCATGCTGGATATCGGTTTGTCATTTGTCAGAAATGTTTATGGCCAATCATGCTTAGATTACAAGTCCCAAAGAACTGGCAGACAACAAACACCCACTAGCGTTAACCAGCATCATTTTCCAGAAATAAACACAAGAGGAACAGGGAAGGCAAGACAGTCAGTAAGAGCTGAAGGTTTGACTTCACACACACATGGACTTCAATCCAAACACTTCACACTCAACACAGCTAATATACATCCCTGCATGAGCAAAGACCTCAAACGCTGCCGTTTACTCAACACTCCAGAGTAAACACTCAAATCTAGAGCAAACATCATTGAATGCACACCAGTCCACTTTCCTTTTTTATGTGCTCCTCCACTGAGGAAGCCTGGAAATCATTTGAAAACAACCAAAGTCAGTAACAATAGTTACCCATAAGAACTAAATTAAGGAAGTATTTGGACAGTGGACATAAATGTTCAATGATGTTTAATAAATGCAATCCTTACAAAGGGGAAACACACTGACAAATAAGAAGCAAAATGTACAATGGAAATAACATGTTTTGTTTGAACATGCACCATGATACTTTTAGCGTTTTTGAACATGGTAACCAAACCATGTTTTTTTTCTTTTTTACCCTACCGCATAGCACCATGGTGATAGCATGTAATAACACAACATGTATAAGGACTACTCCAAATACCATGTGCAGTTATTTTTATTAGAATTAATCCAAGTATTGAGATTTTAAGCCTATTGTATTTTAATACATTCAAGCTATGTTTTGTATAAATTTAGTTTCCAAAAAATTTAAAACACAGATAAGACTACATGAAAACTTTACTTTTTTTTGGGATGGTGAAATGTGTTGGCCATTACTTTTAACTTTAAATTGAAGTCATACACTACCGCTCAAAAGCAGAAAAAAGAAGAAGAAACTAATACTTTTATTCAGTAAGGATGCATTAAATTGATCATAAGTGACAGTAAAGATATTTATAATATTACAAAAGATTACAAACGAATGCTATTTCAAATAAATGTCACTGTTTCCAGAAAAATATTAAGCAGCACAACTGTTTTCAACATTGATAATAATAAGAAATATTTCTTGAGCAGCAAGTCATCATATTAGAATGATTTCTGAAGGATCATGTGACACTGAAGACTGGAAAATTCAGCTTTGCCGCACAGGAATAAATTACATTTTAAAACATTTTCAAATAGATAAGAGTTATTTAAAATTGTAATAATATTAGATACATTTCATAATATTACTGCTTTTACTATTATTACAGTTGTGGTCAAAATTTCACCTACACTTTGCAGTATCTACAAAACGTTAATTATTTTACCAAAATAATCATATAAAATGAATGTTATTTTTTATTTAGTGAATAAGATATTTCACTTAAAATATATTTACATATAGTCCACAAGAGAAAATAATAGTTGAATTTATAAAAATGACCCCGTCTACAAGTTACCTGGATGATCCACAGCTGTTTTTTTAAAAATTGTTTTTAGTGATAGTTGTTCATGAGTCCCTTGTTTGTCCTGAACAGTTAAACTGCCCGCTGTTCTTCAGAAAAATTCTTCAGGTCTCACAAATTCTTTGGTTTTCCAGCATCTGTTGCGTAATTAAACCCTTTCCAACAATCACTGTATGATTTTGAGATCCATCTTTTCACACTGAGGACGACTGAGGGACTCGTACAAAAAGTTCAAACACTCACTGATGCTTCAGAATGAAAAAAACGATGCAATGGAGGATTTTCTTTGTTGACAAAAAGAACTTTCCTTTCCTCTGGCAGTAACTGCACATCAACAGAGGTCTTCCAAGAACAGCACAGGATAGATAAATTGCCCAAAGGACATTTCACAGGATGTGCTGCCCTCTGCTGGTCACTTCCTAGCTTGATAAACAGACAGGAATATAAGAAGTCTTTGGTGTTTTTGTACTCACCAACGGGGTTGATGTCAAAGAAGCGGACCGGGGTTCTCAGGATGCTGTTGAACATGCGGTTGTGTAACGTCTCTGCTGAGCTCACCAGAGCGTTAAACATAAACAGACTGCGCATGAAGCCAAAGATGATGGTGGCTCCTGTTAAGCCTGATGAACATAGGATACACAAATCTCCATTACCATTGGGAGACACATGCAACATGTCTACATTTGTACTTTGGCTGACTTCGATCATGAGCATACCTGCATAGATGCCAAGATAGAAATTCAGGTTGAGCTCTTGAGTCGTGTTAGTGCTGACAGTGCCATTTGTGCCGTTGGAAGAATTGGTGTACGAGGAATGAAAGTCCAGCTTCTCCTGCTCTGTGGCCCTGTCAATCACAATGTAATGACGTTACGATAGCTGGTAAACACCAGAACATTATGTCCATCTAGTGTATTAAGCACTATTTAGGTTGTTCAAATAAAATGCAATTAGTCTACTTAATGCACTACAATACTTAGTGTTGTTTTCGATCCAGCATGACTTCGACTTGAATTATTTTATGGAAATGTATGCATATATTTACGTTTTTTTTTTTTTACTTTTTAGAGTGACTTTGCAATAAAAACAAGAAATTGAAATAATATTCAAAGAAAACGATATACAGTTTAATGAATATAGTACACTTTAAATAATACATCAACATTACATATAATATAACAACAGCATATATATTAAAGGGTTAGTTCACCCAAAAATGAAAATTAGGCAGCGTTTTACTCACCCCCGAGGCATCCTAGGTGTATATGACTTTCTTCTTTCAGACGAATCCAGTCGGAGTTATATTAAAAATTGTCTTTGCTCTTTCAAGCTCTATCATTGCACTCAGCGGGTGTTGCATTGCTTCAGTCTAAAAGAAGTTAAATAAAAAGCTCCCATGCATTAAAAAAAAGTCTCTCACACGGCTCCGGGGTGTGAACAAAGGCCTCCTGTAGTGAATCGATGCGTTTTTGTAAGAAAAATATCCATATTCAAAAAGTAATAATCACTTTAATGTAGCTTGCACCAACAGTTGTACACAGAAGCAGTTCCGGGAGCATGACGTATGAGGTCAGCTTTGTGCATGCGCCGCTCAGAAGTGACGAACGCGGAAACGCAGCGGAGAGATCAAAACAAAACAACGGTCAAGAATTAGAAGTACAAAATGAGGATTTGTAAAGAAGAATGTCAGAGGATTTCGATATAAGCCAAGAGGAGACTGGTTTTCCTTTGCTAAAGTAAGGAACCTTTGCTTCCTTTGCTCCTGTTAACATATCCTTCAGATCATGAGACTCACCGGCGCATGTGCAACACTGACCTCATACGTCATGCTCCCGGAACTGCTTCTGTGTTCAACTGTTGGTGCAAGCTACATTAAAGTGATTATTACTTTTTGAATATGGATATTTTTCTTATAAAAAACGCATAGATTCGCTACAGGAGGCCTTTGTTCACCTCCCGGAGCCGTGTGAGACACTTTTTTTTTATGCATGGGTGCTTTTTATTTAACTTCTTTTGGACTGAAGCAATGCAACACCCGCTGACTGCAATGATAGAGCTTGAAAGAGCAAAGACCATTTTTAATATAACTCCGACTGGATTCGTCTGAAAGAAGAAAGTCATATACACCTAGGATGCCTCAGGGGTGAGTAAAACGCAGCCTAATTTCAATTTTTGGGTGAACTAACCCTTTAAGATTTAGGTTTTTGAAAAAAAGTCTCTAATGCTCGCCAAGGATGCATCTATTTGATCAAAAATAAATACAGGAATACTGTGGTTATTAACGCGTTAATTTTGACAGCCCTAATATATGCCTGTTGCAGAGCTTGACTGTCCCTGAAAACCAAAAGCTTTCAATGTATGGAAAAGAACATCATGACGATCAACAGTAAAACACAACAGGATCAGTGAAGAGTATGAACTTACTGTTCAAACAAGTGTCTGCCCACTTCTGCATCCACTGCACTCAATGGATCATCCAAAAGGTAAATATCAGCATCCTGATACACAGCCCTAAAACCCACAGACAGTAACAGAGATGTACAAAAAAACTAATAAAACAGCTTAAATATTCCTTCCCATTAGCAAATATATGCTAGTTTGCCATTTTTCAATTATTAATTTTTTTCCATTTCATATATTTTTCACATTACAAAATGTCATTGTTTAACTATATCCTCAGCATGTCCATGATGCAGTCTTCTGAAAGCACATACTATGCTTTATATACATTATATCTTATTTTGTTCAGAACAATGTATCAGTTAAGGTAAGAAATGGGGTTTTATTAAATTGCCGAATTTGTATAATAAAGGTGAAAAATGGTTGATTTTTCAAAGGTTAACAGGTTGGGATACCTAGCCAGGTTGACTCTAGCTTTCTGTCCGCCACTGAGGGTTGCTCCTCGGTCTCCGATCACAGTCAAATCCCCATCAGGAAGCAGCTCCATGTCCTGTACAAAACAGAAAGAACTACAGTTTTAGTATACTACAGCTTACAACAACTTGAGCTTTACCTGGTGGTGAAGATGTCCAGTTAATGTTTTATAGCATTTAAAGTTTTATGAAGATGTGAAGTTAGTTTTAAAGCAACAACCAAATACTAAAACTAGCAAGGCTGTATTAAATTGATCAAAAGTCACAATAAATGCATTTATTACAAAAGATTTATTTTTCTGATAAATGCTGTTTAAAAATAAAAAAAACTTTATATTCATTAAAGAATCCTGAAAAATGTATTACGGTTTACACACAAAAATACAAAGCAGTACAACTGATAAGAGATTTGGAAGCAAAAACATTTCTTGAGCAGCAAATCAGCATATTAGAATGATTTCTGAAGGATCATGTGACACTGAAGACTGGAGTAATGGTGCTGAAAACTCAGCTTTGCATCAAAGGAATAAATTACATTTTAAAATATATTACAATAGAAAACGGTTATTTTAAATTGTAATATTTAACAATATTACTGTTTTTACTCTAAAGAATAGTGTAAAAACTATGTACTTAATTTGTTATTATTTAAATTAAGTAATCAGCACATGTAATTAATTCATTTGACAACCCTAATTACAAAAAGAAAACAATAAATAATCTTACTGAGAGTTTAATTTACAAGTAGATGGAACAGGTTAGAAAGGCAAGAGTGAGATGGATGAATTAACGAATACACGTCTCACCCTTTTGAGCGCACAGGCTCTGAGGACGCTCTCATATCGCTGGGGCTGCAGCTCCTTTCCGAACAGTATGTTGCTCTGAATGGTTCCTGGAAAAACCCAAGGCTGCTGGGAGGCGTACGTCAGCTCACCTTTGACCTTTATCACACCCTTTTCTGCTGGGAGCTCCCCCAGAACAGTGCTGAGGAGAGAAGACTGCAGGAGAGAGGTGAAGATTAGTAACTAATAACACTCATGGCTGCCATGATCACTTCTATTTAAAATGCAAACCTGGGAAAACTGAAATCAGAGAATGGAATTATTGTGACTGACCTTTCCCGCTCCCACAGGACCAATAACCGCCAGAAGTTGACCTGGCTTCACATTAAAAGACACATTTTGTAAAGTTGGCGCATCCAGAGTCTGTGAAGTAGAGGGGAGAAAATATATTTTATTTTTCTGATAAATGCTGTTTAAAAATAAAAAAAACTTTATATTCATTAAAGAATCCTGAAAAATGTATTACGGTTTACACACAAAAATACAAAGCAGTACAACTGATAAGAGATTTGGAAGCAAAAACATTTCTTGAGCAGCAAATCAGCATATAAGAATGATTTCTGAAGGATCATGTGACACTGAAGACTGGAGTAATGGTGCTGAAAACTCAGCTTTGCATCAAAGGAATAAATTACATTTTAAAATATATTACAATAGAAAACGGTTATTTTAAATTGTAATATTTAACAATATGACTGTTTTTACTCTAAAGAATAGTGTAAAAACTATGTACTTAATTTGTTATTATTTAAATTAAGTAATCAGCACATGTAATTAATTCATTTGACAACCCTAATTACAAAAAGAAAACAATAAATAATCTTACTGAGAGTTTAATTTACAAGTAGATGGAACAGGTTAGAAAGGCAAGAGTGAGATGGATGAATTAACGAATACACGTCTCACCCTTTTGAGCGCACAGGCTCTGAGGACGCTCTCATATCGCTGGGGCTGCAGCTCCTTTCCGAACAGTATGTTGCTCTGAATGGTTCCTGGAAAAACCCAAGGCTGCTGGGAGGCGTACGTCAGCTCACCTTTGACCTTTATCACACCCTTTTCTGCTGGGAGCTCCCCCAGAACAGTGCTGAGGAGAGAAGACTGCAGGAGAGAGGTGAAGATTAGTAACTAATAACACTCATGGCTGCCATGATCACTTCTATTTAAAATGCAAACCTGGGAAAACTGAAATCAGAGAATGGAATTATTGTGACTGACCTTTCCCGCTCCCACAGGACCAATAACCGCCAGAAGTTGACCTGGCTTCACATTAAAAGACACATTTTGTAAAGTTGGCGCATCCAGAGTCTGTGAAGTAGAGGGGAGAAAATTAATTTTAACATGAAAGAACTAACTTAACTGTAAAAAAGAAAAAAACTTTTCAAACCATTTTCATGATCGGTGCATGTACAGAACCACAGAGGCAACTATTTGTTCATTTGAGCATGATCTTGTAAGTATCAATACTAATTAACACAACATATACTAATTAATACATCTATTATAAAAAAAAATGCATGAAATGCATGAGGAAGCCAACCAAAAAAAAAAAAAAAAACAACACTTAAGAAAACTTAAGTGGGAACTATAGCAGCTTGTAGTTCTGCATTTCCAAAATCATAACTCGGGGGAAGGTGTGTGTACTTTCAAGGGCCTGGTCCCACTGAACTCACCTTGTCCCAGTAGCATATGAGATCCTGTATCTCCACAGACGCCTCTTTCTTATCCTCCTGAGTAAGTGGAACGTGGGATTTCACAAGCTCGTCGAGCAAGAGAAACTTCTGCATGTGAGAGAAAGACCACAGACACTTATGATGCATGAAGACAAGACCATCACACAAAAAAACTGCTGTAATGACACTCTGACAGTGTAGTCGCAGTATTTTGGAGTTTCTTTGGTTGACAAATTAGGACTGTCCGACAAGTGGAAGAAGTGGGTTCAATGGGAGGTCAAATCGGAAAATTAATCATCTGCTTTGTATATAAAGGCTCCTTTCTCTAAGCAGACACTCCATGATTACAAAATCTGCAGGTTCATGACTTACGCAACATTAGCTGTGTCAGTGGGAACTTTGGAGTAGATCTAAAATTAACCCTGAAAATGACACCTGCAGCACTTCAGCACAACCAGACGAGCCAGAGATTTAGAAGCCGATAGTCTTGGCAAATCATCTTTCATTTATTTATATCGAAAGCTTATTTAGTACATTTATGCTGTATGACATATATAACATAAATATACTTTTATACTTATATTTGAGTTTGGGAGCATCAACTTGCTCATTTCTAACATGCAAATTTCTGTCTTCTTTTTTCTTATTTGTTGCATATTGATACATTTGGGAATTAATAATAAATGTTATATATATATATATATATATTCATTCATAGCAAACATACACATTATGAAAAGAAAATGGGCACACGGTCGCTATCATGTTGCATGCAAGTCCAGTTATCAGCTTGGAAATTAAAATTATTATTTAGAATTTTTTAGTAAATTTTATGTACAAATTCCTTATATACTGGCAGTCTGATCAAATAATATGTCATAGAAGAAATGTTAACCACATTGCATTATGGGATACACTATTTCATGCAGTATGCACTGTTTTTTTTCTCAAGACTGTAACAATTTCCGTGACTCTCCCAGACCTGGAAATCACAATTTTGGGTTTTCCAAGATATGGGAACACTGTAACTTCACAAAGATTGGCATTTACATTACAGTTCAAGTGAACCAATTGAGATTTTTTTCCTCCCATGTGGCACAAAACGTCTTAAGCAGAAAAAAAGCGCATGGATTCTCAGACTGGTTTAGACCTCATTCCTATGTGGAAATAAATCTAATATGAATCGCATACGTGCATTTGCATCTGCCAATTAATCGGACAGATCGGATATTCCCCGGTCAATACGAGTCATATGTCAATTAAAAAAACAATGGTGACTCAACCCAGTGGAGTCATGCTGAAGTTTTATGTCTTTTGAAACTTTGAGTGAGCAAATGCTTATATTATCATTTTATCTGAGTCCAATGCAAAGCATGCTGTTTTTGCTTCCTTTTCAGCCTAAGAATTTCTGGGTCGGTATGTTTACTTTGGCTTGCAAACGCAGCTTAAGCAGCGTGCTAAAAAAAATCTGATATAGTCATATATAGTGTAAATGTGGCCTAATGATGGCGGTCGAACCTTGATCCTCCGGATGCTGATGGCAGACTCGGACACTTTCTCAATAGCAGCAGGGAAGAACAGAGTAACGGTTAGGCGGACGGCGCTGTACAGCGACACGGCCACAAACACACGGCTGGCGGAGATTGTGTTGCCCACCAGAACATACACAGTGAACGTCACAAACAGGATGATTTTATTCGCCGTAAAGAACGAGGCCATGTTCAGTCCTCGGAGGTAAGAGCTGCTCATGATTTTTGAGATCTCCTTCCTACAAGAAACAAACAAATGAGAGTTTTTAGCCGTTTATGACCAAAAATCAAAAAGAGTATTATGTCTTAGAGCTGGATGGCCTTGCATAGTACTTTCCAAGGTCGGTTTGTACAATAAAGTTCATTCTGTCTTTTTATAGTGAAAAAGACAGATTATAAGCAGATTGTGATTGTGAAGATTGTGGCATTGCAAGGATAAAGCTGAGATTTCATGGATAAACATTATTAAAAACTTTACACTTTTGACATGCTGACATTCACATAAGTCCTGAACCACAGTACAAAAGTACGTGAACAACTGGTTATAGTCATGAGTTTAAGGCATTGGATTGCGCTTGCAGTGCATTCTCAGCATTGTCACAAGGGATGCTTTAGTCGTCTTCAACAGTCAATGTTCACTTTTAAGACAACTACTCATGGCAGAGCATCCGTTTTCGGTAAACTCTTGCGAAGCAAGTTAGTTAAACCATTGAAACTGTTTCTAGATAGCTATCTAAATAATAACACATGCAGTTTAATGGCACAGGCATTTTCTATCACTCCCTTGATTGACTCGAGATAAACTAAAATCACTTCAAGAATTGAGCTCAAAAGAAATATGTAATGGCTAGGGATGCACGATATATTGGCCACCATATCGGTATCGGCCGATAAATGCAAATTTTTTCTGTTAATTACTATAAAACCTTTGGCAATTTGCCGGCTTCAGTAAAGAATTCGGCTGACCTATGTCAGAGCTACAGCAGAGTAAACAGACTAAATAAGTCTATATCACTGTACCTTCGTACATCATTAACCAGTGCTGCGAATGGCTTCTCCCAGGCATACATCTTAATTATACGTATTCCAGACACCACCTCATTCATAGTGCGTATCCTATTGTCAGTGAAGGCTGCGGTTTTACTCCTGTGAGAGAGACAGAGAGAGAACACTTCTGAGCAATATTCTAAAACAAAACAATTGCTTCTTCAAACTTTCATGTTTGTTAAAACATGTCCTAGAATTAGCATCTTAATTAGCAATGCCCTGATCAACCATTAAGTATATAACATGTGTTGGTAATGACATTTTCTTCTTATAAATAAATAAATAAATTTGGATAAGCTTTTTAAATCATTAGCCAATGACACCTAATCAATAATATGACTAATAAAGCTCTCAGATCGTAATCATAAAACTTAATTTTTGATCTTCAAACTGTCACTTGTCTGTTCTTTTAAGACATCGACATTAAAAAAAAAAAAAAAAAACATTTTATGAAAAAAAAACATTGTATAAATGCTTGATGTGACGGAAATTACAGCAGGACTAGGGGAGTGATCTTCTTTGTTTTTAGAGAAAAACAAATTGTACACAAAACTGAATTAACTTGGTATTTATAAGTTTTTAAGGAAAAGTGCAAAATAAATTGTCCTGATTTTACCATTTCTATTTAGGGCGATTACATTAGAGTCAAAAATAAAGATATTCTGGAATATTTCACCTTCCATGACTCAAGTATTTGATTTTAAAATAATTATATATACACATGAATTTCCCTTTAAAGTAGCACGATTTTTTTTAATCGTGTGACAAACGTTTCTAATTGATGAATCATATTTAGTTTGGCTCTGAACCTCAGAAAGAGTGCATAACCCCAGAAGGAAAGAGCATGTGGTGAAACATGGGACTATGATTTATTGTGTTTTAACACTGCCGTAAGACTGATCACCATATAGTCAATATAGTATAGAGTCAAAAATAAAGATATTCTCAAGTATTTGATTTTAAAATAATTATATATACACATGAATTTCCCTTTAAAGTAGCACGATTTTTTTTAATCGTGTGACAAACGTTTCTAATTGATGAATCATATTTAGTTTGGCTCTGAACCTCAGAAAGAGTGCATAACCCCAGAAGGAAAGAGCATGTGGTGAAACATGGGACTATGATTTATTGTGTTTTAACACTGCCGTAAGACTGATCACCACAATAAATTCTCGTAAATGACTTATTTGGAGATGGTTGGAGATGATTAACATCTCATTATGGACAGAGTAACTACCATAACAGAAAAATACACCATCTTCAGCATGCAAAGTTAATTCATGCACTTGAACTGTTCTCTTGAGCTATTAATTATTTCTATATTATGGAAATCAGTCCAGACAAACTGTCATTTGAACAACAAAGCTCATCGAAAAAAATCACAACTCATTAAAAATATAAGGGGTTTTTAAGAGATGATAAAAGTGTTTTCACAGAAGTTTTCTGAAGCCTACTTGACACTATTAGCCATGACATGAAGAGCATCCTGTGATTGTGATTAAACCTTTCAACTTCTTATGATTGCTTTTCCCTGATCCATTTTTTTTTCCAGAGTAATCTTGAGATTGTACCTGTACTTTGAAAACAGCTTCCCAAACATGGTCTGAAGTGGCATAAGAAAGATTAAAACTGCCATGCCCGCAAGGCATGATGCTCCAATCTCTTGCCAAAGCAGACCAATCACAGCTGCGGCTTGCAGAGGCCCCACCCACAGGAAGTGCAGAAAAATAGTCACCTGGGAAAAGAGATGTGAACAAAACAACAGACAATTATATCATACTTGACTAACCAAACAATTTTCAGCATCATTGCTCCAGTCTTCAGTGTTACATTATCCTTCAGAAATCATTCTAATATGCTGATTTGCTGCTCAAGAAACATTTATTATTATTATCAGTGCTGAAATCAGTTGTGCTGCTTAATATATTGATAAATATTATAAGTAATATTTGTGGGAACTGTGATACGTTTTTAGGACTCTTTGAGAAATAAAGGAAATTTAGATTATATATTTTTTGGTATTATCTTTATTCCATCATCAGTGTTCATTTAATAAGCCCCTACATAGTGGCACAAAACCATGACGCATCATGTTGTAGTTCATGAGACAATATTTTAGTGTAGTACTTGGGACACGGTGTACTGCTTTTGTAATATCATATTACAAACAGTCCCAGAGATTATTTTTAGAATCTACAAAAAAAAGTATCTTAAACTTCAAAGTTCTAATTTCGGGTAACTTGGTCTGAACAAAAACTTCCTGTAATTCTTCATGGAACCCCTCTGATGTCTGCTGGTAAATGCAAGAGGAACGCTTCCAAATACTGATGTAGAACAATGACATTCCTACTACAAATACACAGAATAACTGTTCAGACAGAATGAACATGGTTTAAAATGGTCATGCATTTACTGAGCTGCATTAAATCTGTAAAGTCATGTAACAAGGCACACAGCCAACACTTCACATACAGTAACTATCCATCACATAATGATAATACCTCTGCTGGAGACTCCACGGGACTGATTAATGGGTGAGTTATCTTGTATGTCAGAAACCACAACACATAAAAACTGTTTAACTAATCATTTTAATTTTCCAATAACCCAAAGTCAGATTGTAAATGAACAAAAGGTTAAGATGACCTATTTGAGACCTCTCCTGGTACTCTGAACGCTGGCCAATCTGTTACCCAGTAACACAAGCCCTTTACGGTAAATCACTCGTGCTGCCTTTGGCCGTTTTAACTGGAAAGTGAACTACACACAACAATTCCCTGACCAAACAAGTGCCATGTTTAAATCCATTAAAAAAAAAAAAACCCTGTGAGTGACCTGCTTCAAAAACAGGAAATGGACAGCCGGTGACTGTAACACTTAAGAGGAAGACAAAGAAGTTATGGAAATTTCCTACCTCATCGAACTTGCTGACGTCATTCGACAAAAGGTTAACAATCTGCCCAGTAGTTGTCTGGCCCATAGCTGTGGCACTAAGGCACAGTGCCTAAAAGAAGAAACGAATCAAAAGGTTTGTGGGCGATACCGTTATAAGGATAATAATTACCCTCAGCCAAGCCCAAGAATAAATAAATCATTCCTTTCGCTTTTATCACAGACACTTTATAAAAAGGGGGGGGTGGGAGAGAGATGTGGCACACCTGCAAAAAAGTTCAGAGGGTCTCTTTAGATTCAGGGTGGCTTCCTGTACACTACAAAATGAAAGTGAGCAGGAAAACCAGACGGGCAGTTAACCTCACACTCCCTCACGCCCTGCTCTCTGTATCCTCCTCCAAGAGTTCTGCGCCTGTAATAGCAACAGTAGAACCTTCCAAATTATCTGCCCTTCGGTTCTGGCTATTATCACTGCAAAAAAACACAATCCTAAATATTACATTTTAATGTCTAACTTGTCCCACACCTTTTGTGCTACAAACATGAATGCTCATCAAATCATGTGGCTGGAGAAGAGGTGTTCTATTGCTTTTCTAAGTGATCTGACTTTGAATTCAACCTGGCTGATTATCCAAGCCAACTTACAGCATATTTTGTCTACAAGGACAGTCCTTCTGTGAAAATCTGTTGTAAGGCAGAGTTGTGGTAGCTAATGAGACACCCCTTGTGGATTTTGAACACACAGTTTCCTGGGTTACCGGGTCTGATCTTAATCCACACCTCCAGGATCAATGGTCTCGGGTCCCACGTGCCCAACCAAGGCTCCTTCTAGGAATACTAAACCAACCTAAACTCATTCCTTCATTTCAGTTTTCATACATTGTTAATGTATGGATGATTACAGAGATGTTCGCTAAAACTCAACATTGCATAATGAACTGGTGTGAGCCATCGCTTTCCCAACACCTACTGGGAACCGCACTGGCCTGCGTTCTCATATTTCACAATAAATACTCTGAGGGTTTGTTTGAGAAGAGTCTGTTGATTAGTCGGTTTATTCCCAGCGGCTCACTCACCTCTGCAGTTCCTCCCCGAGTCTCTTGGACCCATCCTCCGGAAGCACTTTATACATGTCATCTTCTTCAAGTCTTCTCTTGGAGCCGATACGGAAAAGAGGGTTCAGCCAGCTGACATCAAATGAGAAGAGAAAAGAGGATTTGGTCAACAGAACTCTTTAAATGTGTATGCCAAAGGATGCTGAATAATTGATGAGTGATGACAGCCGCCTAAAGTGTACAAACCATATGTTTCATGACAAACAAACATACATGCAGGTAGGTAATCTCTTTAAAATGACAGTAATAGATGCTCTCCTCTATCTAGAGTGTTCCTGAGGGTCAAGGGTTGGAAAACAAAACCTAAAAACCCCTCTGACATTAAAGCCAAATGGCTGGATTTGCATATGAGTCCATAACATGAACTAATAATACAAAATAAATCATTGCAACATATATACATCTAATAATAAAATAATTAATGTGTGACAGATAATAAAATGAATGCTGTGTTAAACACTTTTTTTATTTCTGAATTAAAACCAGTTTTGAATATTTTCTGATTAATGTTAAAAACCTTTTTTATAACCATTTTCTTACTATGTGTCAGTAAGTTGTTGTTATTTTAGCATGTGTGTTTGGCTCAGTGTTATTTTTTTTAGGATTACTGATAAACTAATGTACTGTAATTTTATGAGTTTTTTTTATTATGTCTATATAGGCTTTTTATTAAGTTTTAGTTGTATTTAATTTGAGTTATTTCAGTACTTCAACATACAAAAAGGAAATGAAATAATATAATATAATATAATATATATATATATAGAATGCATTTATATATATGTACATGTATATAATAGTATTTATATACATGTACATGTACAGTGGTGTGAAAAAGTGTTGGCCCCCTTCCTGATTTCTTATTTTTTTTGCATGTTTGTCACACTTTAATGTTTCAGATCATCAAACAAATTTAAATATTAGTCAAAGATAACACAAGTAAACACAACATGCAGTTTTTAAATGAAGGTTTTTATTATTAAGGGAAAACAAAATCCAAAACTACATGGCCCTGTGTGAAGAAGTGTTTGCCCCCCTGTTAAAACTGTGGTTTATCACACCTGAGTTCAATTTCTCTAGCCACACCCAGGCCTGATTACTGCCACACCTGTTCGCAATCAAGAAATCTCTTAAATAGGACCTTCCTGACAAAGTGAAGTAGACCAAAAGCTAGACATGACGAGATCCAAAGAAATTCAGAAACAAATGAGAAGGAAAGTAATTGAGGTCTATCAGTCTGGAAAAGGTTATAAAGCCATTTCTAAAGCTTTGGGACTCCAGCGAACCACAGTGAGAGCCATTATTCACAAATGGCAAAAACATGGAACAGTGGAGAACCTTCCCAGGAGTGGCCGGCCGACCAAAATTACCCCAAGAGCACAGCGACGACTCATCCAAGAGGTCACAAAAGACCCCACAACAACATCCAAAGAACTGCAGGCCTCACTTGCCTCAGTTAAGGTCAGTGTTCATGACTCCACCATAAGAAAGAGACTGGGCAAAAATGGTCTGCATGGCAGAGTTCCAAGACGAAAACCGCTGCTGAGCAAAAAGAACATAAAAGCTCGTCTCAGTTTGCCAGAAAACATCTTGATGATCCCCAAGACTTTTGGGAAAATACTCTGTGGACTGACGAGACAAAAGTAGAACTTTTTGGAAGGTGTGTGTCCCATTCCTCCACAGCGCTGTAACAGACTCACTGCAAGTTATCGCAAACGCTTGATTGCCGTTGTTGCTGCTAAGGGTGGGCCAACCAGTTATTAGGTTTAGGGGGCAAACACTTTTTCACACAGGGCCATGTAGTTTTGGATTTTGTTTTCCCTTAATAATAAAAACTGCATGTTGTGTTATCTTTTACTAATATTTAAATTAGTTTGATGATCTGAAACATTAAAGTGTGACAAACATGCAAAGAAATCGTGAAGGGGGCCAACACTTTTACACACCACTGTATATGTGTGTGGCTGTACATACACGCATGTAGTTGTTTTTTGGTGTTTGGCTTAGTGTTATGTTAGAATCATTATTATACTCATACCTTTTTGTTATTTTAATATTTTGAATTGTTTTTAGCTTTATTTTTTTGTTTTCATTTAAATGTTTAGTTGTGAAATGTTGTATGCATTTGTATTTAATTTCTTTCTTAAATGTGTGTGTATATTTATAGAGTTTTAATTACTTTTTCTTATTTGTAAGTCACTTTGGATAAAAGCGTCTGCTAAATGACTTAAAGTAAAAATGGCTACTAGGTGGTGTAATTGCTCAGCGATTGTACAAAAACACTTAAATTAAAGGATAGAAATTCCTGAAAAAAAGGCTTGTTTGGCATAGTTTTTTTGCTTTATAATAAAATCATTTTCTAAAACTTACCCTTCAAATCAAAGTCAGTGGGGTGTAACCAAAAAAGCAAGAGCTCTTTTTTTTTTGTCCTGTGACAAACAAAACAAAACCATGCTATCACATTTTCAAAAAATAAGAAGTTTACCTTTTATGAAACCCATGATTTGCTTATGTCAAACAGAGTAATCACCTTAAAAAAAAAACTTGCATTTTTTTGGGAAAACGTTATATAGGGTGACCATACGTGCCATTTTCCCAGGACGCGTCCTGGCCAGGATTTCTATATTGCCTAAAATATCTAGGTTTTGGCTTTGTTTGCGTGTGCAGACCGATCGGTGTTTGACATCTAAATACCTCGAGAGCATTTTGAAAGCATAAGGAACCGTCTGTATGGTATTTTGATGTCAAACACCGATCGGTCTGCACACGCAAACAAAGCCAAAACCTAGATATTTTAGGCAATATAGAAATCCTGGCCAGGACGCGTCCTGGGAAAATGGCACGTATGGTCACCCTAACGTTATAAAGATAATGATCAGGCTAAATTCTTTAAGAATTACAATAAATAATTAAAATGAAGACTGAAGATTCAATTCAAATATGATTAAGTTTTTTTTTTCTTTTTCAGAAATGTATGAAACCAACATTAGAACGTTCTAAGAACATCTGTATCATGTCAGACCCTCTTTCGACATGAACCCACATATGAACCCACATGGCTATTCCGGTACATGAACGCTATTAGAGTGAACACCGGGAAAAATACTGGAAGGAAAAGAAGTGGGTGTTGAGCAGGACCAGCTTTCCCCGAGTAACAAAGCACTGGATCAGATACACAACTGATGGAAACACACCGAAAACCCTCTGAATAAAGAAGCTTGAACTAATAATGTCTTCAGTGTCAGAAAATGTACACATGAGGTAACGAAAGTCACAAAGCTTAAATTCTCAGAGGGAAAACACATAAAATGGCCCATAAGCTTATCAACTAACTGCCTCCCTCCTCTCTTTCTCCTGTATAACTTAGAGGCATAAAAACTTACCAGAAAAATATCTGTGAGAAGAGATTAGCCGTAGCGGACGGGTTGCTCTTCGCATCTTTCTTTATCGGCTCCATATCGATCGCCATCCTCCCTGCAGTTCAGCCGGACACTGGGACCCCACGCATGACCTGCGAACAGTGCGACACATCTACCTTCTAAACTGTTGTGTAACTTTCTAACACTCACATGTTGTCGTCGAGTAAGTACAGGCGGGAGGTAAACCCTTCATTTCCTACTGAGCGCGCGCCTGTCTGATCAGCCATTGGCTCGACAATCCTTGGGTCACACGTGATTGGCTCATAGTTAGAACGTTTACATCCTTTATACACACCTCGGATCAAGCTGACGAAATTACGAACCTTACTATGGTGAAGACTCATATCTTATGAATATTAATTAGGGCGTACTTACGTTGCTTGGTAACCCTCTTTGAGTGTTGCGTGAGTGAGTGTAATTAATATTAAGGAGCGCTCTTATTTACCAGCTTCGCCTATGCAGCCAATCGTTTAGGCCAATTGAGGCAACGTCACGTCGCGTAATTAATATTAATGAGCCAAAGCTTCACCATAGTGTGAATTGCTTGTGTAAAACGATGAAACAGCAGATTGACAGAAAATTGCTTTGAGGTGGAATTGCTGAAGAAGTGAAGGATGCAACTTTTATGCTATTACTCTTTTAAGCAAATACGATTCTGATCGACTATTCTGACACATGAGAGAAAGAGATGCACATTTGTAGCTTTGATTGTGTAATTGTGCCTCGTACTTTTGGGTGAGGTGGCTTCTTGTCTACCATCTGTTCTTTATTAGCTCTGCATACACAACCCACTCATGCAGTGTGCTGGAAGCAATCATCTTTAATTAGAGTGTCTAAAAAGAGAAAAACAAAAAAGCAACACGAAACAAATCTTTCTTCTCAAATAGGCTATATTGAATGATTCCAAATTAAATTGACTTATTCTTGCCGTTCCAAACCCATATGGCGTTTTTCCCGTTAAACATAAATGGATACATTATGAATAATGTTGGTTGTTGTTTTCAATACGATTACAATAAATGGGGACCGTGGGCACCATAAAAGTATCATAAAACGAACAGACCAAAATGTGTTCTAGTCTAGAACTCAGTCAAGCGATTCATTAAAGACTTCAAAAGAACGATTTATTCACTGAAAGAATTTTCATTTTTGAGTGAATTTTAAATATGTCCTGAGAGAATTACATTTTAGCCCACTCACACATCTCATTCCTCTGTGAGAAACACATACTGCAACATGCACTGTATGTTTATTCTCTCTCTTCCTTCCTCTGTCTGTCCCTCTTTCTTGGATTTCCGATACAGATAAAGCACTGAAAGAGCAGAAGATGAGAGACCCACAATGAGACCGAGCAGGTGGCTGCTACACTGATAAAGGTAATGCTGACAAACACACACACACACACACACACACACACACACACACA